ATGAAAAAGCAGAAAGTATACCGGAGTGGAGTGGAGCAACGGGGTAGAAAAGAAGCGAATTGAGCTTGCAGTTGCTACTGCAGTTCACGCTTAGTCACTCGATTTAACTCGGTTGGAACGGGACATTTGCTCGCTCGCTCGTTGTCTGCAAGTGTGTCGTGCAAAGAGACGCTGAGTTGCAAAACTGGAAATTTCGGACATAGAAATGAGGTGTACGTGTGTCGGGGGCAGGGCGGAGGGTGACATATAAACAGGATACAAAAAAGAATTCTCCCAAGGGAGAACCAGCCCGGAATAGCACGTTGGACGGATAGTGACCGATTGCCGAGCCTCTCCAGACACACCGAAACCCCAGTGGTGTCGTTCCATCACAAAACACATGTCCAGGTGAGTTGAACTTCCTGGAGGGAATGAACCATATTTCAAGCGAGTATAACCACCAAAACTTACCGGTATTGAATTCCAACAGAAACGGACTATCAGCCAAGTCGAGGGGTACTAGACCGGACAAATCCGTACTGTCATTTCCCACTTTCACATTAACAATGCGATAAATGAAACTGGCCAACTGATGTGCACTACTGGCTTCCACTGTGGTGATCGCTTCCCCGATTGGCACGGATTCGGCCACTGTGGCTGTGTACAGTGTGGCCGAGAATCGAGGCCCGTCCGAGGAGACCAAGTGGATAGTGACAGTGGAACTGGAGGACAGGCCACCGCCATCCACAGCCAAAACCGTGGCGATCATCTGACGACCAGTCCAATCGGGCGGAATGAGACGTAAAACAGAGATCAGACCAGTGTTTGGATTGATGGAAAGAAAAGGCGGTTCCGCTCGGGGCCGGATACTGGCCAAACTGTAGGTCACAGTCCCATTCGGACCGTTATCTTTATCCACTGCAGTGACCTGAAAGAAAAAATGTGGACATTGTAACTGGACGGAGGAAACACATCCATCTAAAGTGTTACTGTATTGTACAAACAGAAACTGAAAGTGTCATTATTGTAAGTACTGAGCCAAGTGTACTCATTAAGTAACTTCGTTGTGCCCGGCAAATAGGAAAAAATTAGTGATTAGAGTGACCGTAGGATGGGATGTACGAGAGCGTTTCTTAATTCTGCAGAGATAGTTCCCATCCCTCCCTACTCCGCCCCAATGCCAAACTCGGTGGTAGTGACCCAAAAGTCAGTCATCGGTTACGTGAGACGATGATGACAAGCAAAAAGACAAATCACACAAGCGAATCCATTCGGCCAACATATTTACTTATTAAGCGAGAGACGTCCATAAACACACTGACAGTAAGAGAGACTCATGATCAAAGCATTAATTTATAGATCTCTTCTCCAATCAAGCCTAACATAAGCCCAAAAGCTCTCAGTCGATCACCTCTGATCATAGCATAAAATCCACACGCATGTGTTGAACTCTATCACACACAAACACACACAGAGGATGAGTTGTGTGGACTGCAAGTTGCCGTTTTGTGTAACGACGTGACCACTGTGATGCAGTACGACGCGAGGTGAGGTTGAAGATGATGAGGATGGTGGTGAATGTGGGAGGATGCGTGAACACAGAGAGAGAGACTAAGTGCTCGTACGAAATGCCAACTCGAAAAGCGAACCCGAAACTGCCGACAATGATAAATGATCTTAGCATTCACAACTGGTACACAAAACGAAAACATTACCCACAACCCTCATCAATGGTGCGGTTACGAAATCGGGTGAACTAAACCGCAACTGCGCGGTGGGGAAGAAGATTTGTGTTTAGGACGGGGGTGGTCAATCGAACACAGCAAGAGGATCCACGGCAGCAGAAAACTGGAATGACGCATCAAACCGTCTTCTAGCCAGCTAGATTGTGGTTACGCAAGTATAGTAAGGTACGCCGACAGGATGGAATTCTTTATGGTATGGACTATGAGGGTGTGTATGTGACGGAAGGGGGGGGTATAGCACGGCAAATAAAGAAAGCATCATTATAATGTTCAACCTAAATGATCCAAACACGCTACGGCCAACGTGGAAAAGTTGAGAGGGCGAGAGAATGTAAAAAGCGCCACTCAGCAATTCACACTACCAGACAATCAAAATGGGAATAATGACTCCGTGTGGTGTCCAGGGGAGTAACAGAATCAAGTGAAAAGCATCCATTTCACAATCGAGAGCGAAGCAATATAATAACAAACCAGAAAGAAACAAAACCGGGATCTACCAGGTTGATAAACACAAATGAGCAAACAATAGACGAGGTTGACACATTTGAAAAGCGAGAATGGGCTGACCGCGGCGAGGAAGCAATATGGAATAACAGGGGGAGTAAACCGCATTTTCATCGCCGGTATCATAATCTGCTCTTGGGTCTAAAAAAATATGATCCGGTTCGGTTTTTCGTCGCGGGAAACAAAACGGGCTGATGCGTAGTCATCAGCATCGGTAACCTGTCAGGTGTAAGGTAATAAACCAGTGGAAAACCGAATCAGCTAATGACAGAAAAGAAGTACTGTGTACACACAAGCAAACAGCCGATCGAGAATAGGAGAGAAAGACAACCAGCCAGTCGTCCGGACGCATTGTCATTTCACGCTGAAAGATGGACAGAGAAATTAGGCAGGCCAAAAAAACAAACTGATGTAAAACACCATCATCCAAAACTGAATCGCACAGCTGGAATGTATACAATTCAAATTTTCATACCTAGTCACAGACGCACACACACACAGAGTGATAAACAGAAACCACAGACGGAAGTGATACACGATTTCTCAAGATGTCTGGATTTTTGTTCTGAACAGGTCTGGATTTTTGTTCGGAGCTGAATGTGAATCATAAAAGTACGTGTTCCGGGACGAGGATGAGAGGTTGATGCAACTAAAAAACAACAACCCGGATGAGGTGGCCGATTTACGCGAAATGAAGTATGATTCAATTAGGGATTGATTAAACTCCCGCAACCATTTTTACTGTTAAGCGAGAAATAATTATTGCTTAACTGGATAAAAAACTTTTACCAATTCAAAGGATTGTGTTTGAATTGGACCCGGGACTGTTCTATCATGGTGATCGATTCAGGAGGTAATTAATCTTCCAACTGCGTGTTTGTACACAACAGACAACTTGACGTATGGAGAGAGAGAGAGAGAGAAAAAATTGAGACAAAGAATTGGAATATCGAGCCGAAATAATGAACATTGTCACCCAAATGGATTGAGAAAAATCATTATCCAGCTGAGTCGGGTAGAATAGTTCACACAAAATGCCTGTGTGAAAAACGAGCATCGACTGCTAATTGCCGCATCGAATGCAATAAACAAACAGTGGATGTCTGGATGACAAAAAAACCATCCGCATTCTCACCTTAAACTGATTGTGGCGACAGGACAATACGGATACAGATGTGCCCGTTTCGGAAACCGGGAGCGTTATGATTGGAGTGACTGTAAGGGGATCAATAGCACGAGTGGTAGCGGTCCCGATCAGGTCCAATTTCGATCGACCGGAGGCGCCCAAACAAAACACAGCGTGATACGGAAGTCCGACAAACTCGGGCACATGATCGTTCACATCCAATAGGCGTATGCGAACCACGTTCCGACCGACTCGATTGTGCCGATCTCGGACGAGGATGTGTAGCACCAAATTAGGGGTCTGCTCCCGATCGAGCTCGTTCGGGCCTTGATCTCCGGTCGCATATACAATCCCGGTCAGTCGATCCACAGTGATCCCGGGCAATGGAGTGAGCACTATGTAGCTGCGAACAAATGAAGTAAAACGGTCAATCCAGTATGTGTAATAATGACAACCTAAGGAGACTGTTATTTATGTCGTAAGTTTTAAGAAGAAATAAACAGTTGGCTAAGAAACAGTTATTCTCATTCGACACATATTAACAGATAGCCGTTCATTTGCAAGCGTACGTAATGCTATTTCACCGACCATTCACTGCTACCAATAAGACATTAAGCGATTCAGGTGATCAGGAGAAGTTTGATTTAAGAAACAAAAAAAAACATTTTGTCTCATTCACACGATCTATTTAATATTGACTGGGAACCCGACGGTTATAAAGTGTTAGTATACCACTGAAGCACAGTTTTAAATGACAAGGATAGTGAACGAGCACACACACACAGACGAGGGTAAAACTCGAGAAGAATAGTTCACAATGCAATTGGCAAATTATTCCGAAAGAAAACCGCGAGCGAACCAAGCGACGAGAAAACACGTGCACGGGGGTCAACGAAACGAGGAAAAAGGAATAGCCACAGGAATTCATCGGCCTATTTGTGTGAGTGAGTGTTTGCGTGAGAAAATTGAGCCAGAAGATTGGTGCGCATTTGTTCTGCGTTCGTGGACCTTGTTCTACCTGTTGTCCAGTCCTAAAATTGTGCTTTCACAGTCAAATTGTACACCGATAGTCATTTACACAGCAGGGATGCCGTGTGTACATCAGGCGTCGTGAAACAGCCATGGAGACAAACCAGTGAGGGGAAACTTAGTGAATAGAAAAACGAAAAAGACAGGGGCAATTTTGAAAAAAAAACGATATCAAATACAAATGGAGGACCGGTAAAGCACTTGTAATCAAGAACTCCGTTCATTGGAAACGCATCAGGACTGTACCAACCATGCGTAACGAGAATCCAGGCACGATGTGAACTCGGAAAAAAGTAAACACTAATCGGTAAAACGGGAAACCGGATCGACTCGTGACGGGATTGGTGCTTACCGATGAACAGATCCAATCGGAGCATTGCGTACGGTAAACTGTCCCAGTCGTAAGGGTGTGGGACCCGCAAAATGTTCCGGCAGCTCGACATCGAAACCATCAGGAGGATCTACAATCAATACGGCATCTTCACCACCCAAACTGGATGATAGGGGTCGAGCAAACACGGTCACATTCGTGCGAGCAGTGTGCGGAAAGGGTAGGTGGCGATCGAATGCCTCTACTTCAATCAGATAGGTGTGCTCAAAAGTGCGTGAACCGGCATCCAAGAGAGTAGAATTCGATGCCACGCGTAAATCACCCGAGACAGAATCCAAAATAAATTGGTCGAATCCATTGAGTAGACGAAGAGAAACCTGCTGGGGATAAATAGCAAATCTGGATTTGATTCGAACACCGGGATAAAAATCAAACAATGAGTACGATTAATTTAAACAAAAACAAGAGACAATGCAGCTGACAGATGCGTTAGATGTTCGATGTCTTCGCGATCGATCTATTTTTCCGTCATTCAATCCACGTAAACGGTTGTTCCGTGCATCAAAAACCTATTCCCTTCCCCATTTATGATAAATGAGTGACAGATATAGCGATGAATAAAATGCACTGTGCGCGGTTCTGAAAGCCAATAGGAGAAAAAACTTGGTCAACTAGATGAAACTAAGCAGCATGATTCGACACCTTATAGAAAGTAACTCATATTCGTTCCGATTACTGCCGTTTAATACATCGAATTGCATTTACCACGACAAAAAAAGGATTCATTTCGAAACTTGAAAGTTCAGCCACTATTAATAACTGGATGAGAAAACGGTTTGCAGAACAGCAGAGAAAACACGCTTTTCAGGGACGGTAAAAATAAGTCAATCAGTAATATTACAGTTTTGGTGTAGGCTATGACCGAGAGCGATGTGGCGCATGCTCCTCGAGACGGGATACGCGTCAGGAAGGACGACTGCTGTTAGATGCTCACTCTCCGAGATATGATAATAAACAAAAAGGCTCTTAGCGTCGAACGAACTTCGTTAGGAATTACCGGGCCGTGATCCACGAAGCACACTCGACATACGACTGCAAACCAGAAAAAAGGTGAGCAATTGATGTAAACACTCTTTTGGCAACAAAGCAATTCAGTGAAGTGTGGGATGTTGCACCGTACAACGTGATGCTTGTCCTTCATGGTCGTCATCGAGACACCGCTCGGAGGCGTGGGCCTGGCAACGCTAATGAGATCAACGAAACAGCATAATACGACACTCGGAAATATTGATTTGAATATCGGACAACTTGAACTGGAAAAAGTTTAGTCTCGTTCAAAAGGTTAGACTGTCTAAACTCATCACAACAGGGAATTTCAAGTGAATGAAAAGACACTTGTGCCCGACCTATATAGCAGTTATTTCTCCAGTTTTCCTGTTTGACTTTGAGACACTAAGGAAAAAAGCCCAAACACACAAAATCAAGGAGTAAGATTGCTATCTACCATAGCGCGCATTGAGGTGAATGATGAAAAGCTGTCATGTATGTAGTGGACAACTGGTATTTCGGCGACCTGGTCACAAGATTCAGAGCAAGAATTGGACTGACAAACAATAGAGGAAAACATGTAAAAAAAACATCCACAGAAGTCGCTTACAGTGTCGTTCAGATCCGGATCGGTCACAAACAATCGCATGACAAATTCCAGCGGATACGTTGGCAAGGTCAGAGTGCGCATATAGAATGGTTCATGAAATGTGGGCGGACTGTCATTCACATCGGTGACCTGCACATGGATACGAATCAGGTGATCTGCGATGAGCGACGGAGTGCCCGCGTCGGAAACCTCTACAATCAGATCGTAGTCCGGTATACGTTCACGATCGAGCGCCCGTCCAGCGGCTAGACGGATCATCCCTGTGAGTGGATCGATTTGGAATAGGTCATCCATTTGACGTGCCTCGGTGCCCACAAATCGATAGACAATTTGTCCGTTAGGTCCCAGGTCCGGATCCGAAGCGCTGAGGCGAATCGGTGTGTGCTCCGATAGATCACAACCGGTTTGTTTCGGGCAGACTTGCATGATCGGTGTGCCGGGTTCGGCATCTTCCCGGATAGTACCAATCATGAAGGCAGGTGAATGAATAGTCGGCGGATTGTCGTTCTCATCGATGATGTGGATCTGCGAGTAAAGAAGAAATTGTAACATTTATCGTCGGAAAGATGAGTGGGGATAGAACTGATCCAGTTCAGTTTGTACAAACATTAAGCACCGGTTTTGGTTGCCGTTTTATGACTGGCCGTTTGAATGAAGGAGTAGAAGAAAGATTGGAAAATCGAGAATTCCGGTAGACTAAGGTCACAAAGAAATTGAGAAGATGCACGAGCGCTACTGTTTACGAAGCTTAACCATATCACTCGGTATCTCCAACCATCGATTATAATAACTCCCAGGGTCCCTAAGTGACCTCTATGACCAAGTCTCCTCGTCAGGGTGTTCATACCCTTACGACAGGCCTTAGGTTGACCACCCTTGGCTTTTTTCGACCCACTACCTGCCCCGGTAAACATGGCACGCTGTGGCAATACATCCAGATAATCATATAGGAAAAGAGAAACCGAAGTCGATCACGATCATGCGGGCAGATCGAGATAGTCCGGATATGTGGTGCGCGTGGATTCAGAAAGAGAGAGAGAATTACGAGGGGGCAGTATTTGTAGTGATGGAAGAAGTATTAAGTTCGACCAGTACATCATTGGACGAGAATGCACGAACAAAACGAGCGAGTTGTGTACAACCTATCGGTTGAAGGTCACGGGGCGCGTCGAAACTCGGACTGAAAACGTTCTACGACAGAGTTATATGTGGCGCAGCTTCCCATTTACATAAGACGTAAAATTATTGGTCACTTGAGCATTATTATGCCTGGAATTTTTAGTTCTTTGATACCAGTTGCAACGAAAAATCCAAGGCGTCATTGTAAAACCTTGTTTCTGGCCAACAAAGCAGAACCGAAACACGATTAGCTAAAGAGTAAATTAAATACTTCAATTGGGTAACTTGTTTTTCAACCCCGGATGTTGCCAATGGTTGTCCGGAAAAAGGAAAAAACCGTATGCGCCCAGCGAATGTGCGGATCACAGAAATACATGTGTTGCGGACTACAATAAGAGTGCAGTTGTAAAACATTCAGAATCGCACACACACACACATTACCTGATAATCTTCCTACTACTACAGGTTAGTTTGTGCGTACTCACTTCCAGCACAATTGAATCTGTGAGTTCCGTCCGCACACCACGTGATCCGGCGACTTGGACTTGTACACGATGGAAATCGCCATGTCGTTCACGATCTAATCGAATTAATGTCATCAACAGTCCAGTGTCCGGGGTTACGTGAAACAATTCAGGTCGATTGGTTAGCACAGAGGACCAATCTGAGCCGGTTCCGCGTCCGTTCTTACCGACGGGGGACCAATCAATCGGAATCGAGCCGATCAAACGGAACCGCAGGAATCCATGAATTGCTGATTCGGGTAGAAGAAGCCGAGATAGAGGAGCCATAACATATCCTGGAGGACTATTTTCTGGCACAGATATATGAACTAAACCCAGGGGACGAAATCGTGGTGGAGCCACATCAATCCCTCCCGGTCCCGGAATAATGCGCACCAATACTTGAGTGTGATTACTTCGCACAATCGGTTGACCACCGTCACGAGCGGACACTATTAGGGTGTGAGTACCAATCCAAGGCTCCGCAGTTCCAACGAGCGAATGTAGCGCCGCGGATCGAACCACACTGGATTGTAGCATTGCGTGCGACAGACCACTATGGGTGCGATTTGGTAGTAAAGGTTTGGATAGGCGTAATTCACCAGTTTCGGAATCAATGGCGAAGTAGTGGGCAGTGTCACCTAGGGAATAGGGGGAAAACGGATATGAACGGGGACAAGGGTTACACAAGAGTGTATAATAGTCCATAATTATATTTCATAAAACAAATGGTTAAAGTATAAGAGAAAGAGAGACTAGCTCCATTGTATACGATGAACTTATCACAGACACAAGAGGGCGAATCACTTGATGGGAGGGGGGAGGAACTCGAGTCGACACCGATCTTTCCCCTGATTAGAACTGTTCAATGCAATGAAATGCGCTTAGAAGCGTATTACAAGAGTGACAAGAACAGCAACAACTCAAATTATGACCGTCAAACATGAATATATTGCGATGCTTTTCACAAAACGACGACGACGTGCACGAGTGAAATTGATTCGGAGAAATTCGCCATCGGCAGTACGTCTATAGTAATGCATAAGC